ACTCACTGTAAACAATGGTGGATGGTAGTTCGGTTTCGCAGATTATTTGAAGTAAGAAATTAATACCGTTGGATATTGGCTCAGTGGTCCACATGTTAAGCGTTCGTGGGCACGAGACCGATAGGTCCTGTGTTGGGTTATCACGAGGTGCGATCGTGCATGATCACTCCTGAGAAATTCCATATTATGATGAAATGGATGTCCAGTTCTTCGACGCTTTCCACGGTGGTCTAGCTTCAATTGACTCATGATCTCAACTACTAAAATAGAAGTGTGTCTATCAAATAGATTTATTCAATTTGTTGTTCTCCTCATTTTACCATATCAGCAACCCTAAATTCTCTCTAAAGCACTAAGTTTCCCATCTTCTTTAACTCTTTCACCATTGATCTTTATTTAAAATGCCTGTGAATTAAGACAATATCGATGGAATCCACACAGGATGCACATATACTATTTACAGAGTGATTAGTTCCAGTTCTAAAACAATAATGGGAAGATACAAGTAAACAACAATACCAAGTGAACATATAGTAAATAGTTAATTTGCAAAATATCAATCCATCGTCTCAGATTTCATTATCCCTGCATTTTCATATCAATTACTTTCTGTTTGTGTTCTTTCCTTTTTGATCTATTAAATTACATTCTATTCCTGACTATCATTATATACTACTTATTGTGGATTTAAGTAGCTCATAACACACTATGACTACAATTATACTTTTCAATGTATATTTGCCAGTAACCATGATATCTTTGATTGGGTCCTTCTGTAACTTATACAGAGAGATGTCGTAAACGTTTTATAGACGCTCCTGAATAGGTTATGAGACTAATGAGTATAATGATGTATGAAAACAGATAACTTGTTGAAATATCCAGATGATAGGAACAAGTAGCCCAGATATTCAAACAGGACGCCTAGAATTCAACTCATAGAACAGACTTGTAACATTTAACACATTGATAAATACTGTATGTACAATATTTTGTCTTATTGTATGTATATAAATCTACATATTGATACATTTTCAAGGTTTTTACATGACAACATGGTAGTAACTATGAATCACTATTCAATATTTAATTGTCCATTCACTCAATGAATTTTAACTGTTTATACAATGTAAGGAAAGATAGACAGTGGTTAGTAATGGAATCCAGTTTGATGCGCGTTTCATCCTATGTTGGAATCATCAGCTGGAGGTAACTACATCGCAGAGCTGATATTCACTATGGGATTCGAACTCGGTATCGTTTATACGATGATTATATAGAAATTTATTTGAATAAATTAACTTTATTTTTATCTTTCATAAAGTCAGAAAAGCGGGGGGGGGGAAGGTGTAGAGATTATAGTAAGTTTTAATGGTTGACTTCATGAACTGATTAATATTAGAGTACTGTTGAAGACTTGGAAGTATTAGATGGTTGTTTTATCCTAGTATGGGACTCCTTAGCAGTGAGCATCCACGATCCCGTCTTGAGAGATTCGGACCCACGACCTATCAGTCTCGCACGCGAGCGCTTAACTACAAGACCACTGAGCCAACATCTAACCGTTTTAATGTCTAACTGTAACCAATCCACGAAATTGCGTCACTGTACACCGTACAAAACACCCTTCTGATAATTAAATAGTAGTAAAGAGTGTAAAGAGCCAATTATCTGATAATTACATAATGAAGATAATTATTCACCCTATGAATAGTCTTAAAGTTAAAGATTTCTTAACATCTCCTTGGATGTAACAAATATTATACTGGCAACTAGAACCGATATACAGACGTGATAGGTTATACTTTGCGTAGAACTGAGTACCCCCCCCCATTGCTGATGTTACATTACACTGTGAACTGAGGACAGATATGAGAACAATGAAAAACAAAATGGTTAGAACTAGAAAAGAAACCTCAGGATAGAGTGAATTGGAGAATACTGGTCGGTAGCCTATACTCCACTGAGAGTAACAAGCATAAGTAAAGGGAAGTAAATATCCACATTTCGATCAGTTTTTCTAGTAGATATTACCATATGATTACAAACTAGAGCGTGACTAACATTAAAATCAAATGAGTTGAAGTTTTAAAATGAAATGTAAATCACCTCAGATCTCAGTGTGACTCATAAACACTATGATGCAGATACACCTAACCGACAAGTCCTATACAAATCGAAGAGTTGTTCTAGATTCCAAAGATATACACTTTCTATTATCAGACATTAACACCGTTGGATACCGATCTAGTGACTAAGCACTCGCGCATGAGACTGATAGGTCGTGGGTTCGAGTCTCGCGAAGCAGGATCATGGATATGCACTGCCAAAGAAAAGTTCTACAATAAGATGAAACGACCATCCAATGGTTCCAGGTTTACCATGATGGTCTAACTTCAATTAAAACTCATGATTTCAACGATATTTTATTGTCTATTCTTTCTATTTAAAGTTACATCCAAAATGTATGTGATCATAATTCAATATGTACAAACATTTATCATTAAGGGTTTAATTCATTCCATGATAGATTATCGATTATTTCTTTTTTATTCTTATTTACAATAATGTTGATCTACCCACTTATTATGTAACAGTGATTTTGACCTTTAATCGAATTTAATTTTCATTACTTTTATGTTCATCTAATGATTCTTTTAATGTAACCCGTTGAATTCAATGAGTCGATCTAAGATAAATCAATAATTAAAATCTAAGAGTACTGGATCACTGTTTTGTTCTAGTAATGAACTCTCCTGTAGAGAGAACATCCATGATTCTAGACATAGGAATTGAACCCAATGTCTTCGAGCTCGCATGGTAAACACTTAAGCTCTACACTAGTGAATTGGTATCTGATAGTATTAATGTCTAACTTTAATCGATTCATGATTTGGCGCAAGATTTCATCTAGTGTCTGACGTGGATAACTGTCTTACATATGACATGGATGGAATACTACTGATCACTGTTTCTCATTAGTACTCTAGGAAATTCATCTTGAAACTAGTCACTCGTGAGTATATGATAATCATCAGAATGAAGGATTAATGGAGATTGTAGTAATTTTAACAGTTGGATTCATACATAACAAAAAATATATTTATTATTAACATTCTATCCAATGTTCAATTTATTCCAAACTATCAAGTCTAACCTTAGTATTGATATTTATACTTACTTACTTACGCCTGTTACTCCTAATGGAGGAGCAAAGGCCGCCGATCAGCATTCTCCAAATCACTCTGTCCTGGGTCTTCCTTTCTAGTTCCATCCTATTCTTGTTCATTTTTCCCATGTCTATCTCCATCTCCCGGCGTAATGTGTTCTTTGGTCTTCCTGTTTTCCTTTGGCCTTGAGGATTCCGTGTGAAGGCTTGTCTTGTGATGCAGTTCGGTGCTTTCCTCAATATGTGTCTTATCCAGTTCCAGCGCTTCTTCCTGATTTCTTCTTCCGCTGGGATCTAGTTTGTTCTCTCCCATAATAGGTTGTTCCTCATAGTGTCTGGCCAACCAGTCCCAAGTATATTGTGTAGACAACTGTTAATAAACACTTGTATCTTCTGGATGATGACTTTCGCAGTTCTACAGGTTTCCGCCGCATAGAGTAGAACTGTCTTGACATTTGTATTGAAAATCCTGACTTTGGTGTTGGTTGACAGTTGTTTTGAGTTACAGATGTCCTTCAGTTGTAAATATACTGCTCTAGCTTGATATTTATAACCTAGGGTTAATTTACTAAACTATATAGAGAGACCATTGGATCGCGGTCCAGTGGTTTAAAGATTAAGCTTTTGTTTTAGAAACAAAAGTGATTCGAATTCAATTCCTGGGTGTACAAGTGTCGATCCCTACTTTTAAGAAGTTAAACACTACGATGAAACGTCTATCTAATACTTCTATCATTTCAGTGGTTAGTGATTTCAATAAGATTTAATGATCTCCATAACTTCATAATAATCGAGAAAGTATATCATTTAGTATATATTTTAGAAACATTTCAATTTATATTCAATTCACAATATGGACTGAATTCATCTACACAAACTTTCCAAATCAGATAAGTCTCGTTTCAAAATGATACCCTCTGAATTATATGTAACCTATGAATTCATCAATCGATTCTCACTAGAACTTCAGGAAATACCTCTTGAAGCCACTCACTAGTGGGTATATGATGATTATTAATTTCAGAAGGTGTTTTGTGGATATTATAGTAATTTAAATGGTTGAATACATGAATCGGTGGATGATGGCGCCATTTCGTGGATTAGTTAAAGTAAGAGATTAACGTCGTTGGATGCCTGTTAAGTGGTCTAAAGGTTAGGCGCTCGAGTGCGGGACCGATAGGTCCTGGGTTCGAATCTCGCGAGGTGGGATCATGGGATCGCAATGCCGAGGAGTCACATATTAGGACGAAATAGCTGTCCAGTGCTTCGAGGTTTTCCATGGCGGTCTAGCTTCAATTGACTCATGATCTCAATTATTAAAATTACTGAAATCTCAACAACACCCATCCTGATAACAATCATCGTATGCTCATTAGTGACTGTCTCCAAGAGATATTTCCTGGAGTTCTAGTGGGAAGCAGTGACCGGTGGAGTTCAACCGGGTTTGTTATGAGATAGTAATTCACTGAAGACAATGGTGGATGTGTCACTCAACTTCGTGGATTAGTTGAGGTAAGAGATTAAAATCATTGAATGCCGGACCGATGGCTTAGTGTTTAAGCGCTCGCTTGCAAGACCAATAGGTTCTGGATTCGAATCTCTCGAGGCGGGATCGTGGAAGCACACTGCTGAGGAGTCCCTTACTAGGACAAAACGGTCGTCTAGTGTTTCCAGGTTTTCAATGATGGTCTAGTTTCAGTTGACTTATGAAGGCTTTCTGCTAAGTACTTTGTTGATTCCTATCTATAAGATCATTCATCTTTAATATGTATACATGTTCATCTTTATCTCTTATAAAACTTAGAATATAAAATAACAGTTTGTTAATGTTATGATGGATCATAATGAAAAAACAATCAATAATACTGAATCAATTCATTATGTTACAAATTATGTAACATTTCCATCAATTAAAGATCCTATTTATCCTACAAGTCAACAAAATAATTATATTCATAATAATAATGATTATTATCGTAATCGTCATCATCATGATCATCATCTTCATCTTCATCATCATTATGAACATAATCATCTTGATCCTTCTGAACAAAGAAATTATTCATCTTGTAATAATCAATTACAACAACCTTATATACATTATACAATAGATACAGATGAACATCTATTTCCAATCAATGATACATCTTCAATGACTACTACTAATAATACAACATCATATATGGAAGATATCAATGATAATGAATTATCTTTTAATCATAATGTAACTAATGTTTCAGCAACTGCTACTGCAGCAGCTGTGGCAGCAGCGGCGGCGGCGGCTGCTGCTGCTGCATCTGCTGTAGCAGTAACAACTGGAGTTGTTGTCACTCTACATAATACAGATTATTCTATCAATTCTTATATTCATCAACCTAACTTATCATCTTCATCAAATTATAATTATTATCAATATTATTTAAATGATCCACAATATCAACATCATCATGAATCCATTGATTTATTCACATTACATCCTAATCATCCAATACAACAACAACAACAACAACAACAACAAGATATTGAAGATGTTAATAACAGAATTGATACTACTATTACACCTACTACTTCTAACAATAATCATAGTAGTAATGATCCTTTGAAAGCAACAACAAAACATACTATTCGACATTCAAATGATAATCGTATGAAATCACAAACAAAATTATCTATTTCTGATGATAATGATGATGATGATGCTGATGAAGATGTAAAAGGTCGAAATCAAAATATACTTAAATCTGGTATGTTATGTCTTATATGTGAAGATAAAGCAACAGGTAAGTTGATGTTATGAAGAGTGATGAATAATAATTAAGAATGAAATCTGTTATGTGTGGTTTTTTAATTCTATTCAAGATTTGTCAAATGGATGTAATTGTATCCTAAATTTCATACGACTTGGAATAACTACTTACTTACACCTGTTATTCCCGATGAAGGAGCATAGGCCATCGACCAGCATTCTTCAACCTATTCTGTTTTGAGTTTTCCTTTCTAGTTCTATACAAATGTTGTTCATTCTTCTCATATCTGTCTCCATTTCTCGATGTAATTTGTTCTTTAATCTTCCTCTTCTCCTTTGACATTAAGGATTTCAAGTGATGAGGGCTTGTGCTGTGAGTCAATCGGATGCTTTATTTAATATGTGTTCTATCCACTTCCTGCGCTTGGAATCACTAGCTAAGTGAATAACATGATGAAGTTTGAAAAGAAAAGTACTAGGGTCGAGTCACAAAGTGTACATAACCTCTAGGATTCATATATATCTAGTTAGTGATTACCAAATAGAATGAAATGGATCAACTTTTAGATCGTTGAATTAGCATCAAATGATTTACAGATCTAGTTTTAATCATTTGGTAACTTAGTATGGTAATATTAATGATGACTTACTTGGTATTGTTGTGTACTTGAATCTTCCCATCGATGTTTAGGATGGCAATTGATCAATTTCTTATTAGCATATGTGCATACTGTGCGAATTGCCTCGTTATTGCCTTAAGTCACAAGCTTTGTAAGCGAAGATGGATAGTGGCTAGCAGTGGAATACAAGATGCGCGTTTCTTCCTACTCGGGGCTCGTCAGTTAGATGTACCTGCATTTCAGAGTTGATGTTCACTACGCCATCGCGTTATTCACTTACCTACTGAGTCCTAATAGCCACTTGCTTGTGCAATAGAGTGAAGTTTAAATTCACTTAGTATTGTTTACTTGTATCTTCTCATTGTTATTTAGGACTTCAAATGATCAATCTATCTCTTATTGGCATATGTGCATCCTGTGTGAACTGTTTTCGATATTGCCTTAAGTCACAAGCTTTATAAGCAAAGATGGATAGGGGCTAGCATTTTATTGTAGTTTGATTCGCGTTTCGTCCTATTTGGGACTCGTCAGCTGAGTGTACCTGAATCTCAAAATCGATGTTCCCACTTCAGACATGAATGAACATTTATATATCAGTTTTATTTTTGGTTTACTATTTAGTAAAATGGTTTTATTAAGAGTTTATACAGTATAAGACTTAATTTCCATATTAAAGTAATATCGTCTATTATATTGAACAATGTACTATAAAGATCTTAAGTACTACCAGTTCATTATTGTACACTGAAATGAATCCAGTAGTCTGAATTCATATGTTTAAGACAATCCTCTTGGTTTTGATGGAGTTTTCTTCTCTGAGCTAGATGGTTTGGTCATGGAGCTTTTATCATTCTTCTGAACAACAAACTTCAGTTTGTGCTAATGATATTGGTTCAGAAGAACAATGAAAGCTCTACGAGTAAACCAATTAACTCAGTGAACAAAACTTCATCAAAATCATACATCTGATCTACAAATCTCTTCCATCATCTTACAATCTTCTTGGTAATACACGATGAATCGGTAAATTAGAATAATTGAATTCTAAATTAATGTTATTAAAACCATAAACAGGTCTAAGTTAGAAAATAATTAAAAGTTCTGAAACATTGGATGGTTGGTTCGTTTTAGCATAGAATTGTTTGTCAGTGTACATCTACAATCCTACAGAGAATTCATCTCAGAATGATTAGATCTCAGAGAAAGAGTTTAATCTTTTGATTACGTAACAATTGTTATAGTGACCAGTGGAGTTCAACCAGGTCTGTTGTGAGATAGAAACTTACCACGTCGTTTAATTCCGTGGATTAGTCGGAGTGAGACATTAACACCGTTGGATGCCGGCTCAGTGGTCTATTGGTTAAGTGCTCGCGCGTGAAACTGATAGGTTCTGTGTTCGGATCTCTCAATGTGAGACCGTGGATGCGAACTACCAAGAAGGAGTCCTACAATAGAACGAAACGGTCGTCTAGTGCTTCCAGGTTTTCCATAGTGATCAAGCTTCAGTTGACTCATGATCTCAACTCTTAAAAGTATAGAAATAAGTTTGAATATTGAATATCTAATGAATATCGATTCATTTAAGAAAACTCACTCAGTAATTTGACAATTTTTGAAAATTTCCCATTCAGCTATTTCGTATATATTGAGACATTATAGGTGTGACTTGAATTTTTAGACGAACCAATCAGGAATAAGATAATAAGCCTTGGATTTTGGTGCGAAATTCATTCGTCCATTCGGTGAAATAGCGTCTTGATATTTTAGCTGTTGTCAATTCATAATGAAAACCTTAAATCTAATTCCTATCCCTAACCATCAATTGTGTGTTGGTGGACATTCTCAAGGTCGGTTTGGCGTCGTTTCAAGGTTATCCATAAATGATAGTCTCATCAGATTATCAAATAGGATTTTCAGCTTTATGTACATGTTGCTAAGCTCAGATTCATTAATCATTCTCTATTTTAATACAAATTACAACATGATATGCCACATTCACTCAACATTCATTCATCGGTATCTAATATTAATCAATAACCGAAATACAATTTTAAAAAAACTGAATATAATTTGAATGTATCGCACTTATTCATTAAATAACTGAGTTTGTATTTATTTAAAGTTGTTTTTTGCGCGAAAAAAAGAGGTTGCAAATTATATTTATATAAAATTCCAGTTATCAACACTTATGAAATACTGAACGGCATGATACTCCTCAGAGGTGCGCACTCGGGATTTGAACCCAGGATATTCAGTCTCCCACGTTGGGTAGAGACATGTATCTACCACAGACAATGAATGAATGGTTGTGCAGTTATTCATGGATCGATGGAAGTTAGACATTAACATCATTAGATGCCGGTTCAGAGGTCTAGAGTTAAAGCGTTCGCACGTGAGGTCGAAGGTTCTCCCTTCGAACATTGAGTGCAGGTTGATGAATGCGCACTGTTGAATAGTACGATACTAATACGAAACGGCCGTTCAGTGCTTTCAGGTTTTCCATGGTGGTGTAATATCAATCGATTCATGATCTCAATCAGAAAAAAACTTAACAATCTCCACAATCTCACACTTATGAAATACGAACCTAGGACCTTCAGTCTAGCGCGCGAACGCTTAACCTACTGGACCACTGAGTTGGCATCCGATGGTGTTAATGTCTAACCTCAACCAATCCATGAAATTGTGCGAATATCTTCTCTCGTAATGAGGTAGATACCTGTTTCTACCCGACACAGATTAGCTCCACTGGTAACGGCTACTCACTAGAAATCCATGAATTCCCTCACGAAGCTAGTCACTAGTGAGCACATGGTAATCATCAGAATGGAGTTGTGGAAATTATAAAGTTTTTGATTGAGATCCTCAATTTCTCAGGTTGGTTGAGGTTAGACATTAACACCGACTCAATGGTTTACAGGCTAAGAGTTCGCGTGCGAGACTGAAGGCCCTGAGCTCGAATCCTGCAAGCTGGATCTTGGATGCACATTGCCAAGCAGGAGTCCTACAATAGGACGAAACGGCCGTCCAGTGCTTCCAGGTTTTCCATAGTCAGTCAGTCAGCCACAAAGTAGGACCAGGCACATACATGTATCGACCCAAGGTGCTATACCTCTCTAGCACAACAAGATCAACACCGGATTCATAGAAGTAGTTAATTCAATGGCGGTAATATATAAAAGAAAGATTGCAATAAGGATATAGTACAGGAAAAAGAATAAGTTGGTAGAAAGAAAGATATGTAGCGATTTTAATCTCTTAGTTTAAGGGAAGACTGAGTGTGTATGCACCGACGCCATTGTGATCGATCCTGAGACATGTCACTTAGAATCTCCAACCAAGTAGTGTGCACCTACAAACATGGCTAAGTCTAGAAGTTAGTGACTTCAAGAACTGATGTCACGTCTTAGTTTGGCCACTCCTTACGTTCTTCCAACCATTCCCAACACTATTCAGCATTGTCCGTCGTGGTAATCGGTGTTCGGACATACGTAACACGTGGCCCAACCATCTCAGTCAATGAAAATTCACAACTTCATCAACTGATTTACCATTATTCCCTAATACACTGCGTCTAACCCCACCATTACTTACCCGGTGATCCCAGCAGACGCCAGCAATATTTCTAAGGCATCTGTGGTCAAATACTAGTAGCTTACAGGTGTCTTCTACTCTTAACGGCCACATTTCGTAGCCTTAAAGTAAAACAGAACAAACTGCCCTATAGTATACTCGTCCCTTAATTAATAGACGGATATCTCGCTTTCACCATAGGTGACATAACTTGTCAAAAATCAAACAAACTTTTCAAATCCATGCTGAGATTTTGTCAAACACCAACACCACTCAAGACTATTGTTTTCCATGGTGGTCTAATATCACTCGATTCATGATCTCAATCAAGAAAAATATAAAAAAAACGTCACAATCAGTTCAATACTGTTTGTTTGTTTGTGTGTATGTGGGTGTGTGTTGTTTTTTTTTCTTTTTTTTCGATGGTGAGGAAATACAATTTTTCATTACACTGAAATAAATCAAAAAAATGTTTCTATAATGGATACAATACGTTTTACATGGATATAAATTAAAATAACTTACTTGTGTGATATATCAATATTGTATGTATATGCATGTGTGCATGTGAATGTGCGTGTGTATGTGTGTGAATGTGAATGTGTAAACTTATCAACCACAAATGGTAAATATACATAAGTGTGTTTCATCAAGTCTACTATACAATTGTTTTCTTTGTAATGAATTTGTTGTTGTTGTTATGGTTGATTAGGTACCATGTTAAATGATTGTTTCTATGTTTCTATGTAAGTGATTTTAATGATAAGAAGTTAGATTTGATGTAATGTAAACATGAAAAAAAAGTATATCTCATTGATAAATTTAAGTGTACTTGAGATGTGTGATATTTATGTCGATATTTTTAGTTTACCTAATTACTTACTTACTTACTTACTTACTTACTTACTTACTTACTTACTTACTTACTTACTTACTTACTTACTTACTTACTTACTTACTTACTTACTTACTTACTTACTTACTTACTTACTTACTTACTTACTTACTTACTTACTTACTTACTTACTTACTTACTTACTTACTTACTTACTTACTTACTTACTTACTTACTTACTTACTTACTTACTTACTTACTTACTTACTTACTTACTTACTTACTTACTTACTTACTTACTTACTTACTTACTTACTTACTTACTTACTTACTTACTTACTTACTTACTTACTTACTTACTTACTTACTTACTTACTTACTTACTTACTTACTTACTTACTTACTTACTTACTTACTTACTTACTTACTTACTTACTTACTTACTTACTTACTTACTTACTTACTTACTTACTTACTTACTTACTTACTTACTTACTTACTTACTTACTTACTTACTTACTTACTTACTTACTTACTTACTTACTTACTTACTTACTTACTTACTTACTTACTTACTTACTTACTTACTTACTTACTTACTTACTTACTTACTTACTTACTTACTTACTTACTTACTTACTTACTTACTTACTTACTTACTTACTTACTTACTTACTTACTTACTTACTTACTTACTTACTTACTTACTTACTTACTTACTTACTTACTTACTTACTTACTTACTTACTTACTTACTTACTTACTTACTTACTTACTTACTTACTTACTTACTTACTTACTTACTTACTTACTTACTTACTTACTTACTTACTTACTTACTTACTTACTTACTTACTTACTTACTTACTTACTTACTTACTTACTTACTTACTTACTTACTTACTTACTTACTTACTTACTTACTTACTTACTTACTTATGTCTGTTATTCCCAATGAAACAAATCTAATCATTTCAATTTTGTCGTTCGTATTCAAGGAAGAATTATGACGCCTTATGATGAAAGCCGAGATTCTTTGGAAATCACGATGGACGTTGCGTCTTCTAACAACCACAGGAGCAATTACTATAGGTACATGAAATGTTCGGATTATGTGAGAGACTAGGAGAACCAGTCAAATAGCAACGGAAATGAGGAGATACAATCTGATAGTGTTCGGAATCAGTGAAACCTATTGCACCTAAGCTGGATAGAAAAGGATGGATTCGGGAGAGATGCTGCTGTACTCTGATCATGAAGAGAAAAGTGTTTCATGTACTCAGGGAGTTGCTTTGATGCTGTCCAAAGTACAAAAAGCACTTGCAGAATGGGAACCTCATGGATCCAGGATCATCAAAGCACCCTTCAAAACAAAGGAGGAAAATATAATGAATATTATTTAATGCTCTGTACCCACCAGTAATAGCAATAGCGATGATAGAGATTTGTTTTACGAGAGGCTGGAATACATCATAGCCAAAGTTCCAAGAAACGATCTTACCATCCTGATGGGAAACCTAGACGCCAAAGTCGGAATGAACAACACCTGGCATGAAGATATCATGGAACGATATCGACTGCGAGAAAGGAGTATGAATGATGATAGATTTGCAAATATATAGATATATATTCGATCGAGGTTGATTGAATTCCATGTTAGACATGATTATTACTATCAGGAAAAAGTTTGATAATAGCATTATTTAACAGATATATTCAGAGTCCCAGAGTGAACATCAACTCTCAGATGCAGGTACATCCAGCTGACGAGTTTAAAAAAGGACGAAACGCGCGTCCTGGATTCCACTGCTAGCCACTATTCATCTTAGTTGAAAAAGATTACATAGTAGTTCCGGTAAAAATTGAAAATTCATGGGGACAATGATTATCTTTTTCGATAGTTGAGATCACGAGTCAATTGATACCAGACCGACATGGAAAGGATGGAAGCGCTGGACATCCATTTCACCCTAGTGTCGGACTTCTCAGTAGTGTGCATGCACAATCCCACCCCAAGAGATTCGGATCCAGGACCTACTGGTCTCGTCCCGACGAACGCTTAACATGTGGAACACTGAGCCCGCATCCACTGGTGTTAATGTGTAACTTCAACCAAACCACGAAATTTTGCCACCGTCCATCATTGTCTTCAGTGAGTTACTATCTCACAATAGACCCGGTTGAACTCCTCTGGTCACTGTTTCTCACCAGAACTCCAGGAAATACTTCCTTTTATCCATGAAACTTTTTTCTTAGTAATGTTTCTAATTATACATTTGAATACTCGCAAGTAGTATAAAATGTATTACCACATTTTCCATGGAAACCGCTTACAAGATAATCAAATATATTGAATAATTTCAATAGTTGAGATCGTGAGTTAATTGAAGCTAGACCACCATGGAAAACCTGGAAGCACTGGGTTTCAATCTCGCAAGGCGAGACCGTGGATGTACACTGCTGAGGAGTCACACAATAGAACGAAACGGTCGTCCAGTGCTTTCAGTTTTTCCATGGTGGTCTAGCTTTAATTGGCTTATGATGTCAACGGTTGAAATTACTATAATCTCTACAAAACCTCTTCTGGTGTTAGATAATTATTTCTACTGTATAGTATGTACTTAAATAATGATGGCACTGCAGTTTGAATTATGATAACGAGAGTTTATAAAAACTGTCAACTTAAAATTAATCAATTTTTTTTTAGTAAAACTACCAGTTAGCAAAGGTTTGTATTTTCGGAGTTCTATACTCAGGACTCCAACTGACAGAGTCTCTGTGTCATATATGATTTCTTGGTAGATTGTCTCTACATACGGCTATTAAAGAAGTTTAAGTATACTTGATATGTATTTCTGGTTAGCGTTTTTTTAGCGAGTTAGTTTTCTACGGGATGGGGTAGCTAACCCCATGCCCAACCCTCCTCCTTTATCCGGGCTTGGGACCGGTAGTAGCCCCTGGAGGGACTCCAGGTGGAGTTATACTTGATATGTAACTGGCAGTGAAATCTATAACACTTGATTGGTTCTGTTATGAAGTGGTTATAACGAAGTACTTGTATCCCAGTGATGATTTTCTATGTATATAGAACATAGAATAATGTCTTCAGGACATCCATATATATATAAATAATCATAAACTCATGATATCACTTGATAAATTACTAGAAATCAGCTGTTACCTATCTGTTGTTCAGTCCAAGTTTTAAGTTCCTAGCCAAGATGCTCTCCTCATCTTATACAAGATTGTGTTGAACATCTTCAAGTTTAGTGAATCCTATTCTGATCAGATAATTACCAAGTTGGTTATTAATCACATAGCAACTATTCTACAATCAATTTTGATTAAACTCTTTTATTAACTTAATTAATAGACAATATTAATTGAATAGTAACAATTCGTCTATTTCTTTGTACCGTTATAATCACTAGAGTACATGACAGACTCTAGCTAAAATGTTGATTGTTTAAATATCAATCGATTATTCATCCTCCTCCTCCTCCTGATGTATGCGAATCCTATTATTAGCTTTTACTTTGCCTTCCTGTGCCCTTATGCGATTCGACTACAAATTTGCTTATGTACTCGTCTCTCCGCTTCAAATTCTCTTGATATGCTTATAACTTGGTGATCTGTGCTATGTGTTAATAAACTGTAGTTGCTGCTTATCCATTACCTTCTGATTTCAAACACATTTGAGATTTATATTCTAACGATTATCGAATTGATTGATTAACGAAGCGAAACCATTAGAATCATTGTATCATTGCCAGAACAAAACAGAACCTATCATCTTATTACTACCCTGTTTTATTTTTGTACATAATCTAACATCCAAAGTAAGATTGAAGAAGGGGTAAGACCTTACAGAATAATTTTTCTAATTAGGGTTTTTTTAACGAATAAGTTTTCTACGGGTTGCGGTCGCTAACTTCATGCCTAACCCTCCTCCTTTATCCGGGTTTGAGACCGGCAGTAGCTCCAGAGGGGCTCCAGGCGGAGTTGAAACTTTACGGAAATGGAATGTTTTTAAATAGATCAGACTAGATTCATTTATAAGATGGTGGTTTGAGGTAGTAAACAGGAAACTCTGGACTCGGGTTTCGTGCTACTTGGCGCTCATCAGCAAGGTGTAACTGTAATCAATAATCATCAGTTCCCTCAAGATTACAGGATTTCCTATTGATTACCTCCAACCACTATCTTATCTCAACATAGTGCAAGCAATGTTGAATCATCTAGACTAGTGGCCACATTGCAACTTGTTCGATAGCATTCAATCTACACTAAGAAGGATTTGACACACATGATATTGGTCACCACTGAGTGATCAATCCATTGTAGATTGTTTATTTTCGACCCATTCAAGTAGAACTTTCTTTATCTCGTTCCATTAAATTAACTTTGGTCTGTCTTCGTTTTTTTTTCTTTTTAATTTTCATCATGTATAGGTAAACATTATGGTGCTTATTCATGTGATGGATGTAAAGGATTTTTTCGACGTTCTGTACGTCGTAAACATTCATATACATGTCGTCATAAGAAAAATTGTACTGTTACAAAAGATAAACGTAATCAATGTAGATTTTGTCGTTTTCGTAAATGTTTTCGTGTTGGTATGAAAGAATCTGGTAAGAAATAAAACTGTATCTTTCTATTGTAATTATGAATACTTACTTACTCCTGATGGACGAGCAAAGGCCGCTGATCAGCATACTTCAACCCATTCTGTCCTGAGCTTTCCTTTCTAGTTCTATTCAATTGTTGTTCATTCTTCTCATGTCTGTCTCCATTTCTCAGCGTAATGTGTTCTTTGATCTTCCTTTTTTACTTTGGTTTTGAGGATTCCAAATGGAAATTATGAATAGTCTACATGTAAAATATGACAATGAATTTTACTTCTTACATTTTAAATGATGTCCTTACGAATGTGACCATCAAAAATGTCTATCTAGGTATTCAGTCCCGGTTCTTTGTAGTTTGTATAAGAATAAATAATACTACATAGTTGTCCAAAGTAAAGTAAGTATGGGATGGGATTCGAACCTAAAATCCATGAATTAAAACCGTAGTGTCTTCAACCATTAAGATATCACTTGTTCATCAGATATGAAATAAGCTAGTGTACAAATTCATTGAATCCATTCAAATGATTAGACATAATGGACTGGTTCGATGAAATACTTCAATCTCAGTGAAACTATAATATATAGACGATCATTGAGCGACGTCAAAGTGATCTTGAGAGGGTCTACCTACTTAATAGGGCTAAATGAAGATTATAAAGCAGTTTGAGGAATATAGGTAATGACTTACAACTGATGTTAAGGGTTAGAATTTAGATTTAGGGTTTTCATCGTGAATTGATATCAGCTTAAATGCCAAGATGCTATTTAGACGAATGTATGAGTGAATTTCACATCAAAATCCAAGACCTGTTATCTTAAATCTGATTGCTTCGTACATAAATCATAGCCTCGCCATCAAATTAGTATGAATGCACTTCTTGATGTGAATCAGTGTGTTCTAACTTTGTCAGTCAGTCAGTCAGTCAGTCAGTAACAACGTAGAACTTCGTACGTACGTGCATCAGTTCGAGTTGCCACACCACCTTAACACAGAGATGCAGTTGTCGATTCAAATCCCGTAGTGGTAGAGGTAATAAGAGTATAAGCAGTAATCGGGAAGATTAGGGTTTGGAGATGTTATTCAAGGAGTATAGTCCAGTGAAATAAATTTGGAAAGAGAAAAAAGAAACGGACATGAAGAATTCAGAAGATTAGAATTTGGGAGGACACAGAGAGTGGATGCACCTGAGCCATTGCAAACAATTTTGAGCCATGTCATTCAGGGTCTAACTTTGTAAACTATTGATATGATGATTACTCGGATTCAGTTTTTGTATTTACTCAAATTAAAAACCATAAATAACCTTGAAATATTTGATGATGATACATTTATACTTGAATACGTTTAGACATCGACTTCCAAGTGTGATGTGTGCTATTGATGTTGACAGATATAAGTAGTATATATCATCAATAGAAAGTGAAATGCTTAGCAGCAGAAGGTTAAGAATATCAAAGAGAAGAGAACGAGAACAACGAAGAATTGTTGTGAAAATGAAGGAACAATGAAGATTGAGACAATTGAATGACATTTTTCAAATGAAGTATTTAGTGTATTGTTCTCAGATTTTACTAAGATGTTGTGTAATTTTGCGTCTCCACTTGTGTTCTCATTCACTACAGTTTCAGTTGAACGCCGGCCCAGTAGTTTAGTGGTCAGGGATTTGCGTACAAGATAAAAGATCCTGGGTTATATTTGGAGATTCGGAGTTGTAGATACATACTGATGAGGAGTCCGATAATAGGGTAAAATATCCAACTACAGCTTTCAGATTATCAATGGTTATCTAGCTAAGATCAGTCCATTATTTAGAAAATCATTTAATCCTACAGGTGGATAATTAAAACAGAAAACTGATTGAATCAACTAAGTATAATAATTCAATTAATTGATTTATGTTTATCAGAAGAGGGTTTCATGGAAATATTAGTAATTAAATAGTTGAATTCATGAATTAATTGACACTAGGCCACCATGAAAAACCTGGAAGCACTGGACGGTCGTTTCATTCTAGTATGGAACTCTTCAGCAGTGCACACTCACGATCCCGCTAGCTGAATTCAAACACGGGACCTTTGGTCTCGCACTCAGTGGTTTAGAAGTTAAGCGTTCGCGAGCGACATCTATAGATCCTGGATCTGAATTTCGCGTGCACGGTCGTGGATGCGTACTGTTGCGAAGTTCTATACGGCCGTTCAGTACTGCCAGGTTTTCCATGGTGATCTAGCTTGATATACAGTGGTCTTGAGTGCTGTTAGAGGTATGAGGGTGGTTATCAATTTCCGGTTGCCCACACCGTGGAAGGGTTCTTCTGGAGGTATTTGAAAGGAAAGTAGGATTAGAGGTGGTGTTAGTGACCTGAGAGCGTGACCGCAGTGCCCAAGGGGCAACTGCTTGAGGTCGGTCACACACGACCTTTTTTGCGGGTAATTTTCATGTTAGCTCCGTACTTGTTGAGACCTTACCGCCGGAGACGGATATCCTTGGGATAAGGCGAGGTGTGCATTTCTAGGGTCGATCGTTTCTAACCCCACCTATCTTTGTGGGAAGGCAGCATCGCTGTCATGCTGGTTATCTGAAGGAAACACTTTACTGCTGTCACACCTCTGTACAGTCAGCAGTACGACTTCGCCTTCGGACCTTAGGTTTGTTGCTTTTAGTCTTACAGCTCTTTAACCGACCTGTCTGACATGGTAGGACCTTGAGAAACGATTGTTGCAGCCAGTATAGCTCGAGTGCTTCATCACGATAGGCAAGCCCGATCACCACATCAAGGTAGCAACAACAGTCGGGGATCTAGCTTGGATCAACTTATGAATTCAACTATTTGATCTATATTTCATTGATTATTCACTTATTTAATCTTTTTAAATTTCCTTTTAGCTGTACAAAAAGAACGTGATAAAATAAGTAATCGTCATACAACTTATGATCCTAATTCATCAATTCATTCAAGTATAGATTTACAAAAATTATTACAAGCTGAAGCAATAGCTAATTGTGTACGTCCTATTGTGATAGTGTTCACATTGTTTTCAATGTTCAATGTATGAAATGTGTGTGTGTTTTTTGAAGTTTCCTTGTTGCCATGTATCATATTTATGACAGTAATAATCAGTAAGAAAGTATGAGAATTTATGTTTTATAAGCAACGATGGATAGCGGCTAGCAGTGGAATCCAGGACGGGCGCTTCGTCCTATTTGGGACTCGTCAGCTGGATGTACCTGCATCTGAGTTGATATTCACTCTGTGACTCGAACCCAGTACCATTCGTTTCAAACGCCATCGCGTTATCCACTCAGCTACTGAATCCTGATAACCACTTGATTATGCAATGGGGTGAATTTAAATGCATTTGGTATTGTTTGACTTGTATCCCCCCATTACAATATCGAGGCATACGCACAGTATGCACATATGCCAATAACAGACTGATCAATTGCAGTCTTAAAAAAACACTCAATGGGGAGATACAAGCTAAACAACACCAAATGAATTTATGTTTTATGTTTATTATATTTTTACTAATATAGGGTTATGCCCATAGCACAAGGCCTCATCGAGTGAGTTGTGAAGCTTGTTAGTTCTTATTGAGATTACAAACTGATTCAAGTTAGATGACTAATAAGAAAATCTGGAAGTACTGGACAGTTGTTTCATGCTTATCTGAAACTTCTAAGTAGCGTTCATCTGTAAGTTCTAGTAAAAAGCCATGATCGTTAGAGTTTAGTTGTGTCAAGTGGGAAAAAAGTTACCTACAGAAAAAAAAGAATGTTCGAAAAATGTTATGGATTGATTGAAATTAGACATGTAAACCAATGGATTTCAGCTCAGTTTAGAGGTTAAGAGGTTAAATGTTTGAGTGGATGACAAAAGATCCTGAGTTTCATTACCGATTTCAGGGTCGTAGATCAATACTGTTGAGATGTTATGTATTGATGTGAGATGGCTATCTATTGCTTTCAGATCTTCAATGGTTGTCTAAATTAAAGTGTTATCTGATTTCAATAGTCTTATATATTTGTTACAAAAATTTACGTACATAGCAACAAGAATATCTCGATTGTTTCAAAAAGAACCTTCAGAGTTTGTTATCCATACTTTTGTTATGGATTGAAATTTTAACTTCGATCCAATCTTATTTGGAAGAGAAAAATAAAAATCAGTTCGTTAGAATGACAGATGTACCATACAAAGTTTAACAAACTGTTCAGTTGTCTCAATCCTAGTATATGATCACTAGTGATTGACTTCAAGAAGTATTTCCTGCGATTCTAGTGGAAAGTAGTGACCAGTGGAGTTCTGTCGGGTCTGTTGTGAGATGGCAACTCACTGAAGACAATGGTGGACTGTGGCTTAGTTTCGTGGATTATATGGAGTTAGATATTAACACCGATAGATGCCGGCCAACTCAGTGATCTAGAGGTTAGGCATTCGTGCGTGAAACTGATAGGTCCTGTGTTCGAATCTCACGAGGTGAGATCGTGTATGCGCACTGTTAAAGAGTCCCACAATAGGACGAAACGACCGTCTTGTGCTTCCAAGTTTCCCATGGTGGTCTAGCTTCAATTGACTCATGATCTTAACTAGTAAAATCACTATAAGATCCACAAAACCCCTTCTGATATCAATCATAATTGGCTCTAATTAATGCTGACTAGTCTGGTTTACAGTCATATTTTTTCATAGATAATCTTCTATACAAAGTGGTAATAAAAACTGAGGGTTACACGTTACTTATGATTATACATCCTAAGTGAATTATTATTTGGTCATAGTTTATTATTAAAGATACCGAATTGAAATTCAATTGTGAATGCCCACTATTTAGATGTAAGTATATTCAATTGAGGAGTCCTAAATGAGACGAAACACATGTTTTTGATGAAACTGATAACTATTGAAAAATGCAATTTAAAAATTTAAAATGAAATACCCTATTCAATTATACGAATGATGGTTTTTTAGAGATTGTAGTAATCTTAATAGTTGAATTTATGAGTCAATTAAAGCTAGACCACTATGGAAAACCTGGAAGCACTGAACTACCATTTCATCCTCAACAATGTGCATCCACGATTGAGTGTTCGCAAACGAGATCGATAGGTCTTGGGTTCGAGTCCCGCTTGCAAGATTGTAGATGAGCACTGTTGAGGAGTCCCATACTAGGAAAAATAGGTCGTCCAGTGCTTCCACGTTTTCCATGATCTTCTAGCAACTTCAATTGTCTCATGAATTCAACTATTAAATTACTAACAGTAGGGATTTTGTGGATATTATAGTAATTTTAATAATTGAGATCATGAGTCAATTAAAGCCTTGGTACGGTTGAGAGTGGGGAGAGTCCGCTCTCCCTCTCCAAATGCTCTCACATAGCCACGCGTACATAGTCTCTACCAGGGAAGTCCTACTCATTGCCTTCTCGTGGCGGGGATGTTGTTCACAAAATTGAGAGGATGGAAAGCGAATGTCTGGTGGAGGCTTGAACCAGGTTGATGGATATAGAGAGTCCACATAGGGGAGTTGGAAAACCCTGATTCCAAATCAATGGAAAACATGGGCTCCAGTATCCTGAGTGAACAGATGGCGTATGAACCAATTGTTGGTCACCGACTACCAAGGAACTGTATCTCCTTACGATGCTCCACTGCCTTGTGGATCAGGTCTTCAAGTCGAAGGCTCCAGGTGTTGCCCCTTAAGAAAACCATCAGCTTTGGTTTGGGCACCCGAGCAGTATCACAGCCCTCACACATATCAAATGAGATTTGTGTAGCGCATATGTATTTGGTGCCTCCTTGTAAAAATATATATGTGGTAAAATAAAATAAAATAAATAAATCAATAAATAAAGCTAGATCATCAGGGAAACCTTGAAGGCACTAGATGGCCGTTTCGTCCTACTACAATGTACATCCACAATCCCACAGGCATAACACGAACCGAGGACTAATCAGTTTCATGTGTGAACACTTAATCATGGATGCACATTGCTGAGGAGTCTCACAATAGGACGAAACAGTCGTACAGTACTTCTAGGTTTCACCATGATAATCTAACTATTCAATTATATGAATCAATCCATAATTATTTCTCAATAGATTTTTTTTTATTCCTTTTTCTATTGATAGGCAATTCATCAAAATTATATTAATATCACTAAAAGATCATCAGATTTATATAATGAACAATCAAATTATAAAGAATTACATGAAAATAATTTAGCTAATATCAATGATATTTGTGAATCAATACGTACTCAATTAATATTTTTAATTGAATGGGCTAAAAATCTATCCGTATTCACATCATTAACAATTAATGATCAAGTAAGTCAGATTATAGATCAAAATGTACTTACTTACTTACTTACTTACGCCTGTTATTCTGAATGGAGGAGCATAGACCGCTGACAAGTATTCTCTAATCTACTCTGTCTTGGGCCTTCCTTTCTAGTTCTATACAATTGTTGTTCATTCTTCTCATGTCCATCTCCGTTTCCCGGCGTAATGTGTTCTTTGATCTTCCTCTTTTCCTTTGGCCTTGAGGGCTTGTCTTGTGATGCAGTTGGGTGCTTTCCTCAATGTTTGTGTCATCCACTTCCAGCGCTTCTTCCTGATTTCGTCCTCCACTGGGATCTGGTTTGTTCTTTCCCACAGTTGGTTGTTGCTAATAGTGTCCGGTCAACGGATCCAAAGTATTTTGCGTAAACACCTGTATTTTCTGGATGATGGCTTTCGTAGTTCTCCAGGTTTAATGAAAATAATTTAGCTAATATTAATGATATTTGTGAATCAATACGTACTCAATTAATATTTTTAATTGAATGGGCTAAAAATCTATCCGTATTCACATCATTAACAATCAGTGATCAAGTAAGTATGATTACAGATCAAAATGTACTTACTTACTTACTTACTTACGCCTGTTATTCTCAATGGAGGAGCATAGACCGCTGACAAGTATTCTCTAATCTACTCTGTCTTGGGCCTTCCTTTCTAGTTCTATACAATAGCTGTTCATTCTTCTCATGTCTATCTCCATTATTCGTGGTCTTCCTCTCCTTCTTTGGCATTGAGGATTCCATGTGAGGGATTGCCATGTGATGCAGTTGGGTGCTTTCCTCAATGTTTGTGTCATCCACTTCTAGCGCTTCTTCCTGATTTCTTCCTCCACTGCAATCTGGTTTGTTCTTTGTCACAGTGGGTTGTTGCTAATAGTGTCTGGCCAACAAATCCGAAGTATTTTGTGTAGACAACTGTTAATAAACACTTATATCTTCTGGATGATAGATTTCGTAGTTCTCGTAATTTCCGCCCCATACAGTAGAACTGTCTTGACATTTGTATTAAAAATTCTGAGTTTGATGTTGGTTGACAGATAATTGTTTTGAGTTCCAGATGTTCTTCAGTTGTACATATATTGCTCTTGCTTTGCACATCCGCGCCTTCACATTTGCATCAGATCATCTGTGTTCATCAATGATGATGTCCAGTTAGGTAAAGGTTTTTACATCTTCCACATGTAGACCAAACTATTACAAAAAACTTTATAAGAGTAATATTTGAATTGATTAAGAATATAATAGCTGAACTGATGAGCCGACTAATGCTAGATCATCATGGAAAACCTGGAAGTACTGGATGGCCGTTTCATCTTATTATGGGACTCGTCAGCAATGCGCATACACGATCCTGCCTTACAGGGATCGAAACCTGGACCATGTTTTTCATCGTGGTTTAGCTTTAATCGACCGACGAATTCAATTGTTAAATTACTACAATCTCCATAATACCCTTTTCTCATAATAATCATTTGCACACTGGTGACTTGCTTCAAGGGGTATTTTCTGGAGTTCTACTGAGAAGCAGTGACCAGTGGAGTTCAGCCGTGTCTTTTGTAGAGGAAGTTTATTCTAGTGAAGACAGTGGTGGACGGTTGCGCAATTTCATAGGTCGGTTGAAATTATACATTAACACCGTTGGATGTCGGCCGACTCAGTGGTATAGAGCTTAAGCGTTTGAGCGCGAGACAGAAGGCTGTGGGTTCGAGTCCTGCGTGAGGAATCATAGATGCTCATCAGTGAGGAGTCTGATACTAGGATGGAACGGCCGTCTGATATTTCAAGACTTCCCATGGTGATCCAGCTTCGATAGACTCATGGATTCAACTATTAAATAACTTCATAGGATTAACATTTGAACTGATTAAGAATAACCGATGAGTATATTTGTATTACCAGAGAACGATTTGATTAAATTATTGCAAATTGGTGGAGTGACAAGAAATTGACTATTCAGGATTTCAATGTTAATCTACCTAGATTTCTTCGTATCCAACTCTTAAAAAAATAGCCGAAGCTCTTACCATCCATGAGCTCAAGCCAGAACTATGTATACAAAAGATGTACGTCCTATCGTTATCGTTACCTTGGCCTTAATTGTTATTATTATTACTGCATTTCTCCCTTTACTTATGTCTTACATTCTCATTATTTTATTCATAAATGCTCATCATATCACTTTATTTGTTTTTTTTACACCTCTATGACCTTTAGTTATAGTAAGAAAAACATTTTTATATCAGAAGTGGTTTTGTGGATATTATACTAATTTTAACGGTTGAGTTCATGAGTCGACTGAAGCTAGACCATGATGAAAAATCTGGAAGCACTAGACGGCTGTTTCGTCCTACTGTGGGACCCATCGGCAGTAGGCATCCACGATCCCGCTTTGCGAGATTCTAACCCAGGATCTATCAGTCTCGCGCACGAGCACCTAACCCTCTCGACCACTGAGCCATTTTAGTCGTCTTAATACATTCATGTTATAATTCGTTACTAACTTAATAAGTCTATTGTTAATATTCGTATTACGTAATCTAGTATTATAATCTATCTATTACTGCATCATCTTGGTTATACCTTATTCCCATTTCCTTACGGCACTAGTAGTTTAGCGAAAAAAAATTCAGATATATACGATTGTACAGCTTGATAATAAATTCATTATCAGAAGGGGAGTTTCTTGAGATTTTAGTAATTTAATAGTTGAATTCATGAGTCAATTAAAGCTAGATCAACATGGAAATCCTGGAAGCACGAAACGGCCATTTCGTCCTAAGATGAAACTCCACAGCAGTGTACATCCGCAATCCCTCCCAACATCATTCGAAAAGAGATCCTTTCGCTGAACTTCACATGTTTTTTAATATTTAATGATTAATCAATGAAAATAGAACATTATTAAATATTCTATGATAAATTAGATGAGACTATAATTTATGGATGACCTTTGAACGACGGTAGAGTGACCTTGAAAGTATCTACCTAATAACCAGGACCAAATGAGGGTTATAAAACGGTGTGAAGAAATGGAATGATGATATACAGTTGATGACTGTTATGCTTCGATAAACATAATGAATGGTAACTTTAGGAACCATTTATGGACAAATACTATACGTAAAACATGGCACAAATCCATGAAGTCACTGACAAGAGGACTGAGTCATGTTGGTAGGTGTAGACTACCTGGTTGGGGACCACGAGATGATAGCAACCGATGGTTAGAGACCCTGAATGACATGGCTCAAAATCGTTTGCAATAGCGCAGGTGCATTTACTCTTTGTGTTCTTCCAAATTCTAATCTTCTGAATTCTTCATGTCCCTTTTTTCCTCTTTCCAAATTTATTTCACTGAATTATACTCTTTAAATAACATCTCCAAACCCTAATCTTCCCTATTACTCCTTATACTCTTGCTACCTCTACCACTACGGGATTTGAATCGACAACTGCATCTCTGTGTTAAGGTGGTGTGGCAACTCGAACTGATGTACGTACGTACGAAGTTCTACGTTGTTACTGACTGACTGACTATACGTATATTTTTATCGTATCATTGTTAAATAACTTAACTATTCATATTTATTTTCCTCTTATTATAAACTTTTTTTTGACCTATGAACCAGTATTATGCCCTGTCTATTAGTCATTACCCCCTGCGTTCACAGCCACATTTGACCAAATCTTGTACAAATGTTATTTTCTATTTAATGGTACGTTGTGGTCCGTTTAATTGGTATATAAACTCAGTGTGTTTGAAATATAGTGGGATTCATATCGCAGGGGCTCGAAGTGGTGTTCTGAACTGAACTGGCTGGGCTAGACAGGAAGCGGGACCAATAAAAACTCTAGGCTGCTCATACAAGTTTACGCGTCACTGATCCGATCGATAAGTCACCGCTCTCTCTCTCTCTCATCACGTTATACATTCACAGGGTATACAGGCTACAAGTTATAACAATGACTAAGGCTAAAAATTAGATTTAGGATGTTTCATCACGAACTGATATCAGTTATCATGCTAAAACTCTATTTGTGATTTTATTCCCGTTGGTAGGTGATCGACCATAGATTCTCTTTGTGAAAGATTTATTTCTACATTGTTTATGTGTAGTTTTAATGAATTTGTTTGGTTGAGTGCATACCGTTAAAAGGTTCTAGACTCCTGAAACTCTATTCATCCAAATGAATGAATGAAGTTGGCGCCAAAAACCCGAAACCTTTTATCTTATACACTTGATTGGTTTATCCATAAATTCTAATGAATAATTCTTTTTTTTTTTAATTTCTTTGAATAGATTGCATTATTACAAGCACATGCTGGTGAAATGCTTATTCTTGGTGCTATATGGCGATCAATTACATTAGGACCAGCATTGAATAAATCAAATGAATATAAAATAGAAAAATCAAAATATTTTGAACAAAAAACTAATCAAAATGATAATACATTTATCAATGATACTATAGATGATATAACTATTACTTTGGATTCAAATATTGTTGCTATGGTTACTACTACTACTAATGCTACGACGACGACGACGACAACTACATTAACTCATTCATGGAATACTACTGTTACTACTACTACAACTACTACTACACCAACGACTAATAATGGAAATAGTAATAATAATGGAGATCAGTCAATACAAAAGAATCAAATCATTGATAATACAATAGATACTACTTATTTACAATCGATAAATTATGAACCACAATTTATTTTATTAGGTAATAATCGTATTATATCAAGACAAAATCCATTACCAGAAATAGCTGATTTAGCTAATATGATTATTAATGAAATCTATCAACCAATACAAAATTTATGCTTAGATGAAATTGAAATTGTTTGTTTTAGAGCAATAATGTTTTTTGATCCAAGTATGTTGAATAGATTGGTTTTATCATCATTATTATGTTTTCTTTTGTATGTTCAAAGATCATGAGTCGATTGAAGCTAGACGACTATGGGAAACCTGGAAGTACTAGATGATTGTGAGACTTCTCCTTGGCAGTGCACATCAACGGTCCCACTTCATGAAATTCAAACCTAGGACTTATTGGTCTTGCATGCGAACGCCTAACCTCTAGACCACTGAACAGGCTGGCATCCAACGGTGTTAATATCTAACTTCAACTAATCCACGAAATTGAGCCACCGTCCACCATTGTCTTCAGTGAGTTGCCATCTCACAACAGACCGGGTTGAAGTCAACTGGTCATTGCTTCTCATTAGAACTCCAGGATATACCTCTTGAAACCACGTTACTAGTGAGCATATGTTGATTAGTGTTAGAAGGGGTTTTGTAAATATTTCAGTAATTTCATAGTTGAATTCACGAGTCAATTGAAGCTAGACTACCATAGAAAACCTGGAAGCACTGGACGGCTGTTTCATCTCAATATGGGACTCTTTAGTAGTGCGCATCGACGATTTTGCTCGCGAGATTCGAACATTAGACAATAATGAAAATTGTGTTTACAAAAGAATTTAACTTATACATTTAGATAGACTTCTGTTCTGTGCAAATGCGCACTTGTCAGGAAGGGATACCTGAAATCTTAAGGAAATAGATTGTCTGTATAGGATGTACACTTGTATCATTCAGTTTCCTATTCAATAAAAATCAATTCTAAGCTAATTTGTATCAGAAGGGGTTTTGTGGATATTATCGTAAGTCAATTGAAGGTAGACCACCATGAGAAACCTAGAAGCACTGAACGGCCATTTCATTTTATTATGAGACTCCTCAAAAGCGCGCTAATTTGTTATCGATTATTCTGTTATAGAACTAAGATATTTAAGTACATTAATTAATAAACACAGAGTAATAGTGTACTTCACTACTCCTATTACAATCTATCAAGTTTGATCAATCACTCATTTATTTCTATTATATCCGAACGAAGAATAAGTGAATGATAACTGCTAGGATCTATTTATGGACTATTATTACATGTACATTCATACTCTTTTTATTATAAGCTTCAATTTGATCTATTGGCTATTATTATATGATTTACTATTCTTAAGTTATTTCCAATTTATCAGTAATAATCTCTCACATTCAAATACATGGTTATTATAGCAGACGCTAATATTAATGTTCTGAACTGAACCGGTTGAGTTAGGCAAGAAGCTACTATCTTGGAAGACACAGACTTGACACTAAACTGCTCGTACTGTTTTATACGTCATTAGTCTGTTCAATAAGTTGGTGCTCTAATTGGAGATCATATTACGTGATATATATTCTCAGGGCATAAGGGCATAACATAATCCATTGTTTATACTACCACTAATGCTGTGATAAACGGGAAAACCAGTTGGGTCAATCAAAATGTTTTAACAGAACATTACAGAATATCTTGGTAAAATCTGAGAACCATACAAAATATTAATCAATTGTCTTACAATTTGTTGTTTCTTCGTTTCCACAGCAATCACTCTCTGATCTTGTTCTCTTCTCTTAGATCTTCTTAACTTTCTGACTCCAGGCATTTGACTTTCTATTGGTGATATATACTACTTATACCTGTCGATATCAGTAGCACTGCACTACACTTATATGAATATAATTAGTAAACTTGTCTAAAATAAGACAATAGGCAGGAGAAATGTTTGTTTACTTTATGAAGTTGCAAAGTATTTACATAATAAACATATATAGCCTTCGATTGTCCATTTTCATCTTTCGGTGTATTCTACCATCTGAACTACCCTCTTGTCTGGTCTTCAAATGTATTACTAACTCCATGTTTTCAATACACTGAAACTCTTCACTCCTGAGCTGAATGGTTTGGTCGTGGAGCTTCTGTCGTCCTTCTGAACGACATCATCAGCACAAACTTCAGGTCGAAGTGAAGTGTTCGAATTTCTTCACATGTGGTTCACAGCTTATCCTGTACACCTCGATGTTGATTAGTTCTTGTTGACCTTGAACCTGTCACTGTTTACTTCTTTGTTTTGGTTGTATCTCCCGTTCGTTTATATTTTATTCCTGTGTCTGTTCATAATTTTCCTGATTCATCAATAAATTGGATTGATTTCAATATGCTTGTTGATCACTGATTGACCTGAATGCCAAGCTTCTAAGAATTCTCTAATGTTTTTGGAATTACCTCTATCCAAAAGTTCCACATATCTATGAAAACTCCAAGACCAAACCATCCATCTCAGAGAAGAAAAACTCCATCAAGGTCATCCATCTGAGCTACAAATCTTCTCCACCAACTTTTCACTCTATTTGACGTTATTGCTAGGTTTGAAGCGATTACGAGTTCACTTAGTCTGAGAACGGAACAAAGACTTGTGACCAAAGACCAACGAACTAACTATTCTGTTGCATTCCAGTCACGCCAACTAGAGAGGGAAGTCAAAGTTCGAACGGAGAAGTATATTCCGCAAAAAGCCAAAAGCACGAGCGTTAAGTACTCTAGACTGGTCGCATAGGTTTTAGGCGTCACTGCTTCGATCGATAATTCACTGCTTTCTAATTGGTGGTATCATTCCAAGGCACACAGGCCACAAGTTATAACAATTGGCTACTGGGGATAAAGAACAAAGAACCAATGGCGCAAAGTTAAAATAATTTACTTCCGTCACACACTACTTATAAAGAAATCTTATGAGTAGTATCCATTACATGTGTAATTTAAATTTATTTTGTTTATTTGTTTTGTATCAACAAAAAACAAAGGTTGTGAATCATTATCAGAAAATGGACGTTTATTAATACGTAGTTGTCAATATCTAATACAAATGGAATTAATGAATATAATGAATGGTAAATTATATTTACCACAAGGTCGTTTCGGTGCATTATTATTATTAATACCAGAATTTCGATCAGTTACTTATCAAATGATTCATAAATTACAAATTATACATCAAATGGGTTTTACTAAATTAGATGGTTTATTATCAGAGATTTTATTGAATAGTAAGTAATGATTTCTATTTATTTATTTATTTATTTATTTAAACACTTAAACATTGATACAAGGAGGCACCGAACGGATATGCGCCACACAAGTTACTTGATTTGTGTGTAGGATGTGATACTTCCCTGACGACTAGATCGAAGCAGGTGATTTTTTTAAGGGACCACACCTGGAGCCTTTGACCTAAAGTTCTGATCCACAAGGCAGTGGAACATCGTAAGGAGATGCAGTCCTATGGTAGCTGGTGACCAACAATTGGTTCCTTCAGGATCTTGTAGCCCATGTGTACCATTGGTTTGGAATGAAGGTTTTCCAACCCCCCTATGTGAGCCCTCCATATCCACCAACCCAGTTTAAGCCCCCACCGGACATTCGCTTTTCATCTTCTCAATTTCGTAAACAATACTCGTGGTGCTGTGGTGTATGCTACTTTTATTGACATAAGTAGTATATAATACGAGTCAGCAATATAATATCTGGCAGCAGAAGATTGATATAAACGGCTGTCCTCACCTATGTTCTCCTTCATTACAGTGTGAGAAGGCAGTGAGCAGGACTTCCCTGTCAGTGATTGTATGCATATGTTCATGTGAGAGAGAGTTTACTCTCCCCACTCTCGTCCGTACCAAGGCATTCGATTTGTCATTGTATAACAGTTGTTTGTTTAATACTCAATTGAATTTGGTGTAAATTGATGTGTTTCTACGTACTTTTTATTTTGTTTTTTTTAAGATTTTGATGTTTCTTTCAGTAAGGATCATCATAGTTATTTATATTCATTGTTATATTTAATGAAATATTAAGGTGTTTAGTTGTAAGTTGAAATTGTTATGGTGTGTAATACTTACGTTGATATAAGTAGATATAACACTTGTCAGGAATAGAATGTCCTATTCCTCCATGAGCATAACACTTATCATTCCTTGTATAATTCAATCATATTGTAGCAAACTCACGCCGCAACTCCTCAATCTTCTTTCCGACACTGTTTATCTCCTGATTTTCACATCCGACTGGAGATATTGTTCGAGTCATCGACTGTCGGATTAATTTAGTCAGTTTACTGATATCCATAGGTTGTGCAGCGTTTACTAGTTTCAGCTGCTAAGAAACGGTGGCAGGAATGGTCTCAATAAACTACGACGCCAACAACTGTGTCTCCAACTCTTCCTCCAGATTCGACAACGCGCATTGCAACAACCTGGTAAGCTCCACAGCCAGCACCAGTAGGTCAACATCGATTGTCATTTTTGCGGCCAGAACTTCTGCAGTGCTTCTTCCTTGTCCACTGGGCTGTCGAGCTCCGTGATCAACCGCTCCGTGACTGTCTCCCATACCGTCTTTCCTCCAGCACCGTCCAAGCTGTCACATACCTTTTTTACCCTGCCGCTCAGCGGCGTCCACAGCATCACCATCTTCACCTTCGGCTCCTTCACCTTCAATAGCTCCGCCACAGCCTCAAACTCCTTCAGAAATCTCAGCACATCTTTGTCCTGAAATTCTTTCCGTCATGGAACCTTCATCCGTAGTGGAGGCAGCGACCCCAAATGTAGTGAAGACAGGTGTCAGACAAAGCTAATACCCTACTCTTTTCTCTGGTGGTTGACTGGATTATGAAGACCTCGATATCTGAGGAGAAGCACTGAATAAAAAATGGACAACTTGGATGCAACCAGACAATTTAGACCTTGCAAATAACCTAATTTTTCTATCCCATACACAGGAACTAATGCATATGTAGACAGACTGTGTATCAAAAGCCTGTGCATCAGTAGGTCTCAACATACGCAAAGGAAAAATCAAGATCCTAAAGTACAGCACAAAGAGCATAACCCAATCACAGCTGATGGAGACGATCTGGAAGAGGTGGAAAGGTGTTAGTACCTTGGCAACATCATTGGTAAACAAATGGAATCCGATGCAGAAGTGAGGGCAAAGATTGACAAAGCAGGGACCACATTCCTACAACTAAAGAATATAGGGGACTCAAAGTAACTGTTCGCGAGTCAAAATCAAAGTCAAAATCTTCAATACGAACGTCAAATTAGTCATACTTTACGGGGCCGAAACTTTGACAACTACTGCAACCATCAAGAAGTACAGTTATTTATAAACAATTGTCTATGCAAGATACTCCGGTAGACAACAAACCAGGTTTCAAATGAAAAAGAAATTATGAAAAGACGCTGAAGGTGTGTAGGACATACATTGTGTAAATCATCAAACTGAGTCACGAGGCAAGCATCATTTTGGGAAGAATCGTGATGGGCGGCCTATGCTTCTCCACGACGGGTAACGGGTGTTACAGAGTACGTAAGTAGATGGATATTACCAAGGTCACTCAAATATCATCCACAAATTTTATACTCACCGATTTATCTTCTCTAGTAATCACGTTCTTTGATATACAACATACTGATTTCAAAATATTTTACGGAGTGTATATCTACTTGTTGCATCATAAGGCAAACCCTAACTTGAAATCCTGAAAGGAAATGGAAAAGAGGAAAACCAAAGAACACATTACGTCGAGAAATGGAAGCAGATATGAAAAGGATGAATAACAACAACTGTAAAGAACTAGGAAGAATTGCGCAGGACAGGCTTGGATAGAGAGCGGCCTATTGGGCAGCCTATACTTCTCCACAAGAAGTAACAAGCATAATTAATATCTAATTTGTTAGGGTGATCCGGCAAATTTCTTGCAAAAGACATGCAAGGATGAGGAAACACTAAGAAGCGTTTCATCCAATCAACGTTTACTTGAAGTTTTAGCCAAAAATATCAAGGAAGCGAAACGTCAAATGCAGAGGCTCTGATTGTCTGGCTGCTACACTGCTACTATATTTAGTAGCATTACAGAATCTTATAGCAACCCAAGGACATTTAAAATATTATAAAAACCCTGTATTTTCTGTATTAAAATAAACCTTGGAGTAAGCTAGTTCTCGCATAGTTTGAGTCTTCTCTCTCATGTTCAGGTCGGTGTCTAGTTCTAGCTTGGGGGTTATAGAATAGCTTAGGAGACGAATATACCGTTCAATCCTCAAGACTTATCATAATTGTATTCTTATTTTACTGTTAGAATAGTAATCTCATCTAGAGTATCTTTTATTTCTTAAGCAAACTTTTTCTTTCCTTTATTTTTGTTAATAATATAGATACAATAAATGAATCAAATGGTAACATTGAATCCAGCCAAGTAAAATCATCTATGAAACATTCATTCAATAAATATATAGTTCATGAAGAGAATAATAAATCACCAACAATCTATTCAATGCCTAAATTATATTCAACACATAATGATGATATTTATACTTCACAAATTACTGAGACATCTACATCTTTCACCTCCTCCTCCGCCTCTTCCGCTTCTTCCGCCTTTTCCGTTTCTTCATCTGGATCTTCATTATCATTATCAACTGTATCATCAATGACACATATTAATAATAATATACCAATCATACATGAAATAGATGATACAATATCAAATTGCCATAGATCAGTAGATCAAAGGGTATAATATAATAATAATAATAATAATAATAATAATAAATAATAATATAAATATATAATAATAATATAATAATAATAATAATGAATCGGATCATTCAACATTCTTTTCATCTGTATATTGTGTTGGTAAACCAACACGACCATCTTTTATTTGTGCTATAGGTGTTTGACCAATTTTCGGATCTAAACCATACCATGTTCGATTAACTCGATTAGCGTATAAATTCCATTGATTATAGTCAATTAATTCACCTGATGATTGAACAAGTAAAGATTGAGAATTGCCTTCAGTATGAAGTTTATTTTCTGGAATAAAACGACTATGTCCATCAATTAATGAAACCATGGCGAATGATTCAGTTATTTGTGGAATAACATTCTCCACAGGTATATAAGCTTGACCACCTAAAGAAAATTAAAAATTATTTCTAACATTTTCATATACATTGAAGATGAAAGAAAAAGTATGCACTGAATAAGTTACAATTAATTGATCAGTGAGAAGTAATTAATGTTGGTCAAATTACTTAAGTTTAAACGTGTCCACTGATCAAAGTGACTTGACATCACATACATTATGCTTAGATATTAGGCGGTTGGAAGTAGTCAATAGGAAACCTTGTTTGTTTTAGGTTTCGTCCTAATTACCACTCTTCAACAAAGCGTATCTATAATTTTGAGGGAATTGGATTCTCTCAGTAGAATATGAACCTATATCAAGAAGCTTCGTTGCTTAAGATATTAACCATTGAGCTATTTCGATGATAATGTCTTAGTTCTACTGTACATGATGAACAACAAATTTAACAATGTAGGGTATTCACTTTCTGTTGTTTTACTTGTATCTTCCCATTGTTATTTAGGACTGTAATTGATCCGTCTCTTGTTGGTATATGTGAATCCTATACAGACTGCCTCGATATTGCTTTAGGTCACAAGCTTTGTAAGCATAGATAGATAGTGGCTAACAGTGTAATCCAAGACGCGCGTTTCGTCCTATTTTGGACCCGTCAGCCAGATGTACCTGCATTTCAGAGTTGATGTTCACTCTGGGACTCGAACATAGGACCGTTTACTTAAAAACTCTATCGCTTTATTCACTTACCTATTGAGTTCAGATAGCCACTTGATTGTGCAATGTGGTGAAGTTTAATTTCACTTGGTATTGTTTGCTTGAATCTTCCCATTGTAATTTAGGACTTCAATTGATCAGTCTATTATTGGCATATGTGCATACTATGCATATTGCCTTAATTTACAGGCATCCTAAGCAGAGACGGATAGTGGCTAGCAGTGGAATCCAGGATTCCTGGATCCAACAAGAGACTGATCAATTGAAGTCTTAAATAACAATGAGAAGATACAAGTAAACAACACTAAGTGAATTTAGAATGTAGGATATTGTTTAAACAAGTTCCAAATAGGTAAAACTATAACATCACCATAAAGTGTAGTAACCTAAACATAAATTATCACTTGCTAATCAAATAAATTGGATTTAGCATATGGCTACCAAATGCCCTGCTATGGCTGAGAGTAGGAAAAGTCAGCTCTCACTCTAGAAATGCTCTCATATGACCATATGCATACAACCACTGACAGGGAAGTCCCACTCACCACCTTCTCGAGGTATTACTGTTGTTTACGAAATCGAGAGGACGAAAGGCAAATATCTGACACTTACGCCGAGTTGGTGGATATGGAGAGTCCACATAATGGAGTTGGAAAACCCTCATTCCAAATCAATGGTGCATATCGCGTCCAGGATTCTGATGGAACCAGCTACCATGGAACTGCATCTACTGACATCGCTCCACTAACTTGTGGATTGGACCTCTAAGTCAAAGGCTCGGGGTGTGGCCCCCTTAAGATAACCACCTGTTTCGGTTTGAACACTCTGGCAGTATCAGAGATCATACACAAACCAAGTGACTTGTGTGGTGCATATCTGTTTGGTGCCTCCTTGTACCAATGTTTATGTGTTTAAATAAAATAAATATATTTAGCATATGAGTACGCAAGTAACTTATGAAAAAGTAAACAAACAAACAATCAATATTCAACTTACCTGGTAATAAATCATGAAAATCTATGAAAAATTTCTCTGCTGTCCATGTACGTTCGTCATTTAATGAATAATCATTTATATAACATGAATGTAAAGCACATTCCATTTCATATGGTGTTATAACAGGAATATGAAAATTATATGAATCTAATAAACTTGTCTCAGGACAAGCTATTATAATCAATAATTGTAATTCAGGTAAATTAGCTAATTTTTCTGGATTTAATCGACCAACAATTAATGTGATAAATGAACGTTTTGCATTTTTTAACAATAATTTTAAACGATCAATAATATGTTGATAATGTTTAATAGATAATGTACAAACCTTTTGGGGGGGTGAGAGAAAGGGAAAAAAGAACAAAATTTAAGAGAACATCAAAGGATATAGTCAGTCAGTCAGCTACAACGTAGGACCAGGCACATATATGCATCGGTCCAAGTTGCCATACAAGTAACTTTTGTAGAAAAAAACGAACTACTAACATGCATAAGTTAATTCTATATGTTGAAGGTACTTCAATGATTATTGTACAATGATTTTGGCTATTGATTCACCGCTTGAAATTCTGTCATACAATTGTGTATATGGCCTCTGATATGGAATTTCAATCTACTACCTTCACGCAGTAGTTTTTTTAAAAATTTATCTGAACACATCACTATTGGTACAAAGGGGCACCAAATGCATATGCGCCACACAAGTCACTTGATTTGAATGTGAGCTGTGATACTGCCAAGGTGCCCAAACCGAAGCAGTTAGCTTTCTTAGGGAGCCACACCCCGAGCCTTTGATCTAAACAACTAATCCATAAGGCAGTGGAGCAACATCAGGAGATGCAGTCCTATAGTAGCCGGTGACCAACAATAGGTCCATACTCCATTGGTTCCTCCAGGATACTGGAGCCCATGTGTACCAGTGGCTTGGAATGAGGGTTTTCCAACTACATCAGGTGGATGCTCCGTATCCACCAACTCGGTCAAAACGTCGGACATGTGCTTTTTGTCCTATCAATTTCGTAAACAACACCGCAGAGGCGACTTTCCTCTTAGTGGTTGTATTCTCGTGACCATGTGAGAGTATTTCGAGAGCGAGAGTTGACTCTTCCTATCCTCGGCCGTATGAGGGCATTTGGGGACCCTAAAAGCATTGGCCCATATATCAACCATTAAAAGATGAAGTTTAAAAGAACTAACTAACAACTTACCAAGATTCCAATATATTGTGCATCTTTTGCTTTTTCAATTAAATATGTTCTTCTTTTTAATAATCTATTCAATTGTAAACCAGTTAAATCTAAATCACAAGTAATTGGATCAAATAAAATTGTTTTTGATGGATCAATTTCAGGTAAACAAAGTAGGATACGATAAACTGAATATAAATCTGTATCACTTTCTTTTGTATGTCCAATATATAACATCATCCAACTATGTTTATTATTATTATTATCGATAATATTTAAAGTATCCAAATCAAATTGATAAGGAATTAATAATCGTCCACAACGAATCCATTGATTTTTATGGTTATTCATGTCATCTTTCCTGTCGGCTTCTATTACTGAATTATCTAATGTATTAATGTATGGCTCAGACCATATTAATTTTGGTAATAATTTAGGATTATATGAACCTGAACCATTACTACTCATTGATATTAATTCATTATAAATATATTGAGCAATATCTTTAAAACGAAAATCATACATAATGAGAAGAATTGACGGTGTAATAGTTTCTGATGAATAGGCAAGAATGTTCTGTATCAATTGATGTGAAATTTGTTTAAATAATTGGATTTCATTATTAAGTTGATAAGGTGAATATTTGCCAAATACATAATAAATAGGCAAACAACCAGTTGTTATAGATAAACATGCTCGACCATAATGAATTAATGCATCAATTTTCATATGTTGACCAGCTATTTCATCAACACAACAACTGAAGTGTGATAAATTTATACAAATTAATTACAGGGTCATAGAAGTAACAGTAACAGTATAAATGGTGGTAAAAACATTAAGCATAGATAATACAATACACAAAGAAATATATTCACAGAATAAAGAGTATAAGGTAACATTAAAACTGAGGTTGTAAAGGAAGATGGAAGTGAATCCACCACTGCCAGAGAAGTCCCGCTCAGTACCTTCTCACACCACAGGTGTTGACTACGAAATTGAGAGGAAGAAAATCGAATTTCCAACGCTTTAACCGGGTCGGTGGATAGGGAAAGTCCACCTAGTGAAATTGAGAAACCCTCGTTACAAACTAATGGTGAACACGGACTACAGTATCCTGAAGGAATGGATGGCATATGAACCAGCTGTCATGGGACTGTATCTCCTGATGTTGCTCCACTGCCTTGTAGATCAGACCTTCAGGTCGAAGGCTCGGGGTGTGCCCCCCTAAGAAAACCACCTGATTCGGTTTATGCACCCGGGAAGTATTCCAACCCTCACACAAATCGAATGATTTAGGTAGCGCATATCTAGTTGGTACCTCCTTGTACCGATGTTTATGTGTTTAAGTAAATAAATAAATAAAAACCCACTCACCTTGCAAACGAACTATCTCCAAGAATAACACACAGACAATCAGTAACAATAGAATTTAACTGCCGACATATAACAATCGATATACCCAAAAGTTCATCTGGAAATTGTAATCCAACCTATAAAACACTTAGATAACATGTAATTTAATTACTCTAGTAAACTTATTTCTTTTAATCCAATTTGCTGTTTCATTTATTTCAAAAACAATGGGAATATCAGGAGAATTTGCGTTCCATCTTTCAATCATTTTTTTCTTTTACGTTTTAGCGACAAAGTGTACTTTAAAATTTCAAAACGAATCCTTTTTAGACCAATCTACATTATCCAGCGTAATCAGTAGGAAACCATCGCACTAATGCAAGAATCTAAATATAA